GGGACTAGATTCAAACTTGGGGTTAAAGCAAGATGAAATAAAAAAAAAATTATGGGCCCGGTCTAAAAAGACTTGGGCTTCTCTTTATACTGAAAATCGGTTTGAAATGTCCAGATCTTATTTAATTTTATATTAATAAATCTACATTATTAAGACGTAAATAATACATGTTGATATGTAATATCAGGTGGGCATATACCACCAACTCATTAGATTGGAACCTTACAACCATTATAATTTTGCTTTGCAATAGGAACGCTACAAACTTCTACACATTAATTGACATTTTCAATCCATGATTACTCAAAATTCGAATTTGTGTGAAACTGATCAACTTTCTATACCGTTTGCTTTACAAAAAATGAAAAATATGACCTATAATTACTATCTTTTACAACAAATTTAGATATAAAGAAAATGTTCACTTGTGATTACCTCAATCTTTGTAAAATGCCAGTAATAATTTACAACCTGTTTTTAAAAATTATCAGTAAAAATTCATTGTGTATAACAATATTTTCAGTATAATCTTTAAAATAAAGAAAATGAGGCTTTAATTCTTTGTTCCAATAATTTTTTTATATTATTCTCCAAAATAGATAAAGCTCTAATTTTGGAGAATTTTTAAAACTCGATGTGAAAATAGAGAAATTAATTTTTTTTTATTCATATCCAAAATTGATTTTTTTTTATATAAATCTTTTCTAAAAATGTATTGATTAATAAATTTATAGAATGTAAATTTAAATCTAAAATAGAGAATCTTTCGAACTTAATTGTAATCTTATTTATAGATGTTGACATTTTGTTTTTTGATTTTAAAGCAATTATAGAAAAAATATGTTGAAACAGAGAAAATGATGTTTTTGTTCTATATTTTATTTTAACAGAATCTCAATATTATTCTCTAAAATAGATAAGCTCGAAAAGTTTTTTAAAACTTGACTTGAGGATAGAGAAATTAATTTTTTATTTGCACCAACCAATGATATTGAATTATTACTGTTTTATATAAATCCATTTTAAAATTTTATTGGGATGATAAATTTATAAAATTATTAGTTATATAAAATTTTAAAAAATGTATGTTGAAATATCTAAAATAGAGAATCTTATGAAGTTAATTGTAATTTTTTTTTAATATTTTGACTTTTGATTTTTCATTGTAAAGAAGTTACAAATTTTGTTGTTGAAGATGTTTTAAGAACATCTCCAACAAATTTTTTTTAAAATGGAAAAAAGAAGAGTTTTTGTTCTGAATATGACTCTAAAAAATTCTCTATCTTGTTCTCTAAAATAGAGAAACACACAGAAAACTTCGAATATAAGGAATTCTTTAAAATTTTCACCAAAGAAGAGAGAAATGAATTTTGTATTCATTTGATAAATGAGATTGAATTAATACTAGTTTATTAAGTTTTTTAAAAGGAAAAGTCTAAAACAAAATCCAATGAACTTTAGTGTTTGAAATAATTAAGTTATTCGACAATTTTTTGAAACAAAAAAATCTTTAGATATTTCAAAACTTGTTAAATAACTATTTGGACTTTCTAAAACTTGTTAGATTATGACCTATAAAATTGGTTAACGAGGTAAAAATAATGAAACAACTCTGGGAAAAAAAAACCAACGAACTTTTATATTTTGAACGATAAGTCTCTAAACGTTTTTTAACCAAAAAAATACTTACATCTATAAAATGAAACAAATTTGCCTAAAAAGTACTTACATTTAAAAGAGATTATTGAATAAATTTATTTTAATTAAAAAAAAAATATTTTATCAGTGATTTTCCAAATTAAAAAAATAAAAAATAATTTAAAAAGGGTTACTAATTAAATTTATTTTAATTAAAAATAAAAAAATATTCCATTTTTCAAAATTAAAAAAATTAATAAAAGATTTAAAAATGATTATTGATGAAACTTATTTTAGTTAAAAATAGAATATATTTCATTGGTGATTTTCTAAATTGAAAAAATAGAAAATAATTTGATTAAATTATTGATGAATTAACGATAAAATCTAATTGAATACATAATTAATTAAAATTTGTCGTTAGTGTTCATTAATATATATGCATATATTACTTATATTTTATTGATGACTAACTTGACTACCGTCAAACGTTTTAATACAGTAACATGTTAGTAAGTGAAATATCGTGTTTGAATCTTGTCGATGATATCATTTCACCGACGGATTAGCAACAAATTTTAATTAATTATGTATATAGTTAAATTTGTTAGTTAATTCGTCAGCAGTTTAATTAAATTATTTTCTATTTTTGTAATTTAAAAAATCACCAATGGAATATATTTTATTTTTAATTAATATAAGTTTAATCAGTGATCATTTTAAAATATATTTTTTATTTTTTTATTTTAGAAGTCAGAATATATTGTATTTTTATTTAAAATAGATATTATCAGTAATCCTTTTTTATTTGAAAAATCATTGACAAGTTTTTATTTTTAATTAAAATAAATTTCATCAATAATCTTTTTAAAATATAAGTACTTTTTTGGTATATTGTTTTATTTTATATATGTAAGTATTTTTTTGGTTCAAAAAATGTTTAAAGACGTAATCGTTCAAAATATGAAAGTCTATTTGTTTTTTTTTTCAGACTATTTCCATTATTTTACCATATTAACCAATTTTATATGTCACAAGAATGTATCTAACATGTTTTAGAAAGTTCAAAAAGTTATTTAACATGTTTTGGAATGTCCAACCACTTATTTGTTTCAAAAAATTGTCAATGACTTAATTATTCCAAACATTAGAGTCAATTATTTTTTTTTTATACTTTTCCTTTTATAAAATGTATTGGGATTATAATATTTAAATAACATAATTAAAGATGAAATATTTAAAATAGAGAATATGTTGGAGTTGAATGTAATTTATTTTATATAATTTGACTTTTGATTATCTATTTTAGATAAATTATAAAGAATCTATTGGAGATAATCTAAGAAATCCGTAAAAACATCTTCAACATATTCTTCAAAATAAAGATTTTGAGGATTTTTTTCTCTAATAGATTTCCCAGAGATGATGAAATTCTCTAATTTGGAGAACTCTTCAAAAATGTATTTTTGGAAAAAATACATTTTTTGTTTTTTACCAATAATATTGCTTGAAATTAAATATTTGAAATAATATTTTTATGAATTATATTAAATATTTTAATTATATAATTAATAATGTTATCTTCAAAAGGTAGAATATGACTATAATTTTTTAGAAAATTTGACATTTTATTTTTTAATTTTATAAAATCTATCAAAGATGTTGAAAATGTTAAAATTTATCTTAACATAAAACTAAACCATGTTTGTATTAATATTAAGATTTTAATTTATTTATAATTTGTTAAGTAATTATAAGTAAAATCAAGAGAAGAAACAAAAAATAATTATAATGAATTATAAAAAGCAAATTAAATGAAATGGGATGGGCATTCCCAAAGGAGTTCGAGAATATTCCATAGATATCCCAGCGAAGCCGAGTAGGATCCGAAATTGATCGGCGCGTGAAGTGGAAAAGCGACGATGGCCCCTTGGAGGTCCCGAAAAGCCACAGATCAAATGATAGGGACCTAACCGTAATTACACACGCCCTTGGGACACGCGTCTAATCAAAACAGAATCTTTTTTAGGTTTTCTTTCCTATTTCTCGTGATTCTTTCCCCTTGCCACTCCTATAGGATATTCCATTTTCCACACCCAATCTCAATCTTTTCTCCAAATTTATTAAGTTTTAATTATAATTTCTTTTTTTTTTAAATTAATAAATTTAAAAACTGAAGAAAGGGTGTAATTTGAAATTGAACATTTTTTCAAAAATAATTTCTTTAATGAAGATTTTAGAATTCAAACCCGTTTTCAAAATAAGGGGTCGTTTATCAAACACTTATCTGGATAAGCGCTTACCAAGTCATATTGTTTCACCGGATGAATATGATAAAGACTAAGAATCTTACCCGGTAAGAACGAGACAAGAACCATGAGTATTACGCGGTAAGTGAGGATGATGACTCTTACCACGGTAAGCGTTTACCTGGTAAATCTTACCAGGTAAGTAAATACTAGTGTTAAATTTTACCGATAAACACTTATCGGGTAAATGTTAAAAAAGAGAAAATTACGGTCAAATTCTTCAAATTTAGAAAATTCCTAAAAATGGTTTCTAAAATGAAAAATCTTGAAATAAAATGTTAAAAGAGAGAAATAGTATTTTATTAAATATTTTAATCAATATTGTAATCTCAAAAATGTAGAAGTTGTTGGAGGAGATAAAAATTACTTTTCTCTATAGATTTTGAATTTTGATTCTCCGTTTTAAAGAATCTATTGAAGATGTTTTTAAAATAATAATTTCTTTTAAATTATTTCTGTTGATAAGAATTTCTTGAAATTAAATACGAGTGGGCTAAATGTGCAATACCTACTAATTGAATTAAATATATTAATATATAATTAACTTTGTAATCTATAAAATAAAGAAACCGGTAGAGTTCGATGTAATTTCAAAACTTTTGATTTTATATTATCATTTTCTCAAAACCACATAAAAAACATATTATAACATAAGACAAAAATCAAAATAAAATATTAAAATAAAAATATATCTTGTTGCATTACAAGTTGATCGAGATAAGTATGATTAATGATCTTTCTTTGATTAAAATGATGGTAATTTCTAAAATTTAAAAACTGTATGGGTTTGTACTTGATTGTTGAAAATTTTGGAACATTTAAAGTGAAAAAGATGGTGGCAAAAATGGAAAAAAAAGGAAATATTGTGGTGAAAAGAGAGAGGGTGGATTTGATCTTATCTGCAAGCCATGGGTGACGTCATTGCCAAACCATACTCAGGAATCACTCTGGAATATTCAAACCACTCCTCCAAACCTTCTTCCTTTATTACATCTCTCTACCGAACCTAATTGTCTTACCTTCTTCAGCTTTATAATGCACGATTTCAGAGGATAGTACAAGCATCGATACATGAAGTACAAGCAGGTTATGCATATGACGAGTGCTTTTCAGATTCTTGGTTAGGAAGAGTCTTTACGAAAGATTCGTTTCGTACGCGACGCCCCGACTCCGACACCTTCTCCCACACACCTTCGATTTCTCCCAAGCTTTTTACCCAAAATTCACAAAAGAAAGAAAATTATAAAAAACAAAGACTTTCTCTCTCTAGAATTATTTATATGTAAATTATCTTGTATTCCAAGTTTATTCCTTTTTCTGATTCTTCTCTAGATCCTTTTATTCTCGTTCAAACCGGATCTCTCTATGCGCCCAGACAAAATCTTTCACATTTAATGCCCTTTTGATACAGAATTGATCCATCAAAACTCACTGATTCAAATGGTTTTTGATAATAATTCGAGTGATTTTGAAGAGAAAATGCAAAGGTGTCGAGAGTATATGGAAGCTTTAGAATCGGAACGAAGAAAGATTCAGGTGTTTGAAAGGGAGCTTCCTCTTTGTCTAGAGCTTGTCACCCGAGGTATTTTAATGGCTTCTTTCTTGGAAATGGTATTCACACCGTTTATGTGTGTGTATGTGTATGTGTATGTGTATGTGTATGTGTATGTGTGTGATTTTTGCATACTGCAAATTTTGGTGGTTTTCTGGGTGGAATCTAGATGGGTTTTTGTTTTTGTGAATTGGGGTTTTGTTGCTTTTGAAAAATGTAAAGATGTTTTTGTATGGTTCGGATGATTTTTTATAAATCGATATACACACAGTACACGCTTTGTGTGTGATATATTCCTATTCTGCAAATTTTTGACATTTTCTGCCCAGATTCGTGATGGGTTTTTTTTTTTTTTTGGGGATTGGTTTTGAATGCAATTTCTGCGTGTTGAAAAGTTAGACACTTTTCTCTTGGGATCTTGATGGGTTTTTGCTTCTGTAATTTCACCATTTTGCATTTCGTCCGAACAGATTCTATATGGATTTTTGTTTCTTGAAAAAAGGGTTTTGTTGTTTTAAATTTCTTGAAAGATTTCATATATTTTACACAATTTCTAAACGAGATTTCATCTTTTTGGGTTGCAGCAATTGAAGGATGCAGACAGCAAATGTCTGGAACGACGAATGATTACTTCAATGGTCAATCTGAGTGTTCTGAACAGACCTCAAGTGAAGGACCAGTTTTAGAAGAATTTATTCCCATAAAGAGAACATCATCGGCAGATGAAGATGATCAAGAACACCAACACCAACACCAAGAACCAAATCATAAACCCATGAATATATGCACCAAAGATAAATCATCATCGTCTTCCAAGAAATCAGACTGGCTTAGATCTGCTCAACTCTCGATCCAAACCCCAGATCCAGTGGTAATTAATTGTAATTTATTAAATTATTCATGTTCCCAATTTTAGTTCTTTAATTTTGGTTAAAGATTGGATTTTTACGCAATTTTCAGGAATTATCACCAAAAAGAGTGCCGGTTGTGGAGGTAAAAAGAAATGGGTGTGGTGCTTTTCATCCATTCAAGAAAGAAAAGAACCCAGAGGCAGCTCCGGCGGCTGGAACTGCGAAATTATCAACTACGCCTGCCACAGATCCCACGGCGGCTGCCAGTTCCACGGCGGAGACCGGCAGCGGTAGTGGTGGTTGTGGAGGAAGCAAGAGTGAAGATAAAGGACAGTCAAATAGGAAAGCAAGGAGATGTTGGTCGCCGGAATTGCACCGGCGGTTCCTTCATGCTCTTCAACAACTAGGCGGTGCCCATGGTCGGTATATATTTAATTATATTAATTTAACTTAATATATTTTGTTAAATCGAATTTTAATCCAGAAATTATATTTAATCGTACAGTTGCTACACCGAAACAAATAAGGGAATTAATGAAGGTTGATGGGCTCACAAATGATGAAGTTAAAAGCCATCTACAGGTTTGCAATTTTGTATTATATATTTCTGATTATTATTTTGTTCTTGTCAATTTTCTAATTTTTTAAAATTAATTTGACAGAAATATCGTTTGCATACAAGAAGGCCAAGCCCTACAATCCACAACAACAACCCACAAACACCCCAATTTGTGGTGGTCGGAGGAATATGGATGCCGCCACCGGAATACACCACCATGGCAGCCACCTCCACCCCAACCTCCGGCGACACCAACAACTCGAAAGGAGTATACGCCCCAATCGCTTCTCATCAGCCATCTATTGCAGAGGCATCGGTTTCTTTAAACAAAAGCAATTCCGGTGAAAAAGATGGCGGACATTTCCACCTGCAGGAATCGCCGTCGACTTCCTCCTCCACTCACACCACCACTGCTTCACCCATTTTTTAAGATTCCGACATGGTGTAGAATATTTTTGTAAGGATGCGACTTCTGATGTTTGATTGAATAGTGTAAAAGTATAGGAAAATGTAGAGGGGTATTTTGGTCAAATTTTACAAGTAATGGGTGCATATCGCACGTCACAATGGCTATGTTCTAACCGTATCGGTAAATTGTGACTATTAAATGCTCAACCTTCTTACAATAAGTTATTTTATTTTTTGTTTAAATTATTTAAAAAAATAATAAATTTTTCTATTTTTTAAAATTATTAAATCATTTTAATAAATTATAAGTCAATTTAAGCTAAATTTTTGAAATAGTTATTAATATTTTCCTGATTTTACTACCTTTTCTCATGTCTATTAAATACATTTTCAATTAAATTTTTCAAAAATACAGTATTATGAGTTTTCAGGCAAGTTTATGTGTACTTCGTGGTGTAAATAAGCCGAGTCGAATTGAGTAGCAAGTTATTTTAGCTCGAATGAAAATAATAATACCAGACTTTTCAAAGTCGAGCTCGAGCTTGAGTACTTTTTCAATGTTGGGATTCGAGCTCGATGCTTGTTCACGAGCTCGAATTTGAGATTGTTTAACTCGTCTATTTAATAAAGCTTGATTATTTTTATATTTTGATTATATACTTTGCAAACATATAAATATATTGAGCTTTTTGACCGAGTTGAGTCAATTATTGGTGTTACAGAGTTCGACTAGTTAGTTGAGCGATCTTTATTTTGTGTTTGAGATCGACTCGAGCTCGAGAATTATCAAGCTCGAGCTCGAGAAGCTCGTTAAAAGTTCGACTTGTATACACCCCTATGCACACCGACTAATCTCCTGCCTCCTAGGTGACCAGGATTGCATGAAGTCATCGCAGTTGAACCTCCATATTTTTCTGCATTTTGAAGAATAAAAAAATGTTTAAACTTCTCAAAAAATTTATTTTCTTCTTCTAGAGAAGATGCTGGAAATGTTCTAACAACTAGTTTATCAGCTAACATTTAGTTTCTTAACTAGTTTGGTGTTTATCGATATTCCAAAGGCGTTTTAGAAGACGGTCAGATGCATAATGTTAAAGGGAATATGAGAGGTAGGGGGTTAACACAAGTCGGAAAGGCATGAACAACAACCCTTATTTCTAAAATAAAAAATAAATGAATTTAAAACAATTTAATTTTCGATTTACATTAACTTCAAATTTCACCACCTTTAGACTTCTGTCCTAACAAAATTAAAATATTTTATAGTAATTCTTGAAAAAAAAAAAATCAACCTACATTTATCTATAATTTCCTCGGTGAATTTAACTTTTTTTGTTATGAAAATTTATAATATTTTATATTTTATATTTACATATAAAGTAACTTTTTATCGAACTAATTGTGGGTTTGTACGAAATGTAATGGGTCTTAACGATTATTTTGTATTTAAATATAAAAACACATTTGTTTGATAATTAAAAATAAAAATAAAATAAGTACTTTTTAAGATAAAACTTACCGAACAAGTTTGTACTTTTTGCCAAAGGTACTACAAAAAAATTACGTGTTGGAACACTTTCATACAAAGAGATATGGGTTTGTTAGTTGTTACTAGAAAATAAAGAGGATAACAAGCCTTTTGTTCAACAAGATTTATAAATCAATTACATTAATTATGAGAATAATGTTTAAAATTAGCACACATATTAAATAACCGATGACGTTTGTGTGAGAAAAAAAGTTAAGGTGAAAAGCATTAGAAATGTAAGAAGAAATCTGGACCCTTGATCAACTTTAATCTCAAACTCACCCATGAATCGCGCTTGATATGGAGATTGATATTGATGGATCTTGGTGCATCTCATCATAATGTGCATCCAAGGGTGAAGATCCCTTCTTACGCTTTTTCATTTTAACTCTCATTCTCATTGGAAACCGACCCTCAAGTAACTTATATAAAGTTGTCTTTATATAAGTATGTATGTATAGGCAAATGATCGTGTGAAAATGAGGATTAAAGTGAAAAACGAAAGAAGGGATCCGGACTCTTGATTACCTTTAATCTTAAAACCATCCATGAATCACGTTTGATAAGGGGATTGATCTAGTGCATCTCATCTAAGTGCATCTCATTCTAATGTGCATCCAAATATGGAGATCATTTGTTATGTTTCTCACTTTAACTATTCTTCTCACTAGAACAACCTTGTATGTATATATATAAGGGTCTAATTAAATAAGAACTCAATAATTTGAAAAATTGTGATATCTAATGTGAGTCACTCATTTAAGATAATTATATTATTCATTAAATAAATTGAAAATCATAAATAGAAAACTCATAACTCCCATAAATAGGAAATTTTGTAACTCTCGATAGTGTATTATCTTTGAATCCTCGAAGCAAGTAACATAAAGTGTATTTCTGTTGTTCCGTTGTACCACATTATGTGTCTTTTATTGTTTATAGTGTATCACATTGTGTATTTTTAGGTATCAACACAACGTGTATACAATGGGTATCACAGTGGACATTAGTAAGTATCTGTAGGTATATAGATAGAATGATCTTTATCAATGTTTCACAACATGTGTGTACGGTGGGCATCACGGTGGAATGTTCATGTCGGAAGGGAGACAAGAGAGGAGAGATATAAGATTTCTAAAGGAAAAATTGCACCAAAATGGAAACAACTTTCACCTGATTTCAATTTTGGGGAACCAACTTTCAAAATCGTCATTTAGGAGTCTTTATCAAACTTTTTGTTTATTTAAGGGTCTGGTTGATCTGTTGAACATGTAACAGGTAATTTAAGCGTCTCTATCAAATTTTTGGTTTGATTTGCCAAATTTGATTTAAACTTTAATATTGATACGGATTGGTTATATATAAAAATCTTAAATGTGATATTTAATATTTATTTTTTATTGCATCAATTAATTTTTTTCTATTAAATTGATTTTTTATCGCATTAGTAAAAAACAATTTTTATTGTGGTAATTTGGATTTTTTTTGAAAAAATCTTCAATTTGATATCTGAATTTAAAAAAAAAAAACGAGATTTGAAATGAAAAATAGATTTTATTGCATTAATTTTTGAAAAAAAAACGAATTTTAGTTATTTTTCAATAATTATTTTACAAGTTGGTTTCCAAAATAGGAATCAAGTGCAAGTTGGTTCCATTTTAATACAATTTTCCCATTTCTAAAATGCCTAAAATATCATTATTTATTATTTTAAGTCAAAATTACCAAAACTATTAGTTTTTTCTAATTTAAACTTTAATTTGTGGTTAAGATTGGATCTCACCAAAATACTAAGTTCTCCTTTGAATGACCCCATCTATATAGGATTAACTTTTGATGATGAATAAAAGATGTTCGTATGTTATAATGTTCAATTCTCGATGATGAATTATCGCCGGTTGTTAGGAGAAAGAGAAGATGAGGTAGGCCCACCCACTCTTTACGTAACCGGTTATACCACCTTTGAAGTAATGGATGGGATTTTTACCTTTACCGGTTAAACGCATGATCTTTACAACAAATAGACATGAAACTTTCCGGACATTCATAACCTTCTCAAGGAAAAAAGCATTGAATTTTTACAGGAAGAAGACATCGAATTTTCGCAGTATTTTCATAAATATCGTGAAAAGCAAAGAGGGTAGATGTGTAATTGACTTCTGAAAAGAGGGGGTTTGGGTTTGGGTTTGAGATCCAACCTCCACGTTGAGAATAATCAATGAGAATAAGATGGAGAATCTTGACTATTGAGTAACATATCCTCGTTTTTCTATTTTAAAATTAAAATAAAAATAAAAATAAGATATAATATTATATTAAATTAGTAGAAAATTGCTTGACCTAATAATAATAATATTGAAGCGTCAATTACAATCTAACGATAGATCTCAATCAAGTCACCCAAAACTTACCACATTTTAATCCGACGTGCCTTTTAAATTTGAGAAAATAAGATTCTAAACAAGTTTTCTTTGTTATATCTTAAAAGTTTTTTTAAATAGAGAAAATAGGAGGGAGATTATAAAGTTCTTCACCTAAAAAATAATTACCATGAAAGAGAAATCTTTTTTTATTATATTTTCATCAATAAGAAAATTTGAAACCAACGGGTCGTTTACAAAATGTTTATCGAGTAATTGTTTACTAGGTCATTTACCTTACTTGGTGAGTGAGCAACTGAGCATAACAAGAACCATAATCTTAGCTGGTAAAGGGTGTGGCGATAACCGAGGTTCATACTCGGTAAATGAGATAGAAGACTTTTATCCAGTTAACATTAGGGGTGCTCATGGTCTGAGTTGATCGGGTTGAAGACATTTGAACAACTCAACTCAATGTTTGCGGTTTGAAAAATCTTAACCCAACTCAATCCGTACGGGTTGGTCGGGTTGATACTTTGATATATTAAAATATTCTTCTAACCTTGAATATGTTATTTATCTACTCATAATTTCTTTTTCATCATCAACCATTTGATACAACTTATCCATATTTTTTATGTATATCACATTCAGTTAATTTTCTTAATTTACATATATATGTTCAAAGTTACTGAACATATATACGAATGAACTATATATAGGGATGTGAATAGATTGAAAATATGCATGTGTACATGAAAAGCATTTCTGATAGTGTAATTGTCTAATGTATATGTTAACATAAATTCGACAATCATATTAAATCCAAGAAATAAAAGGATATCGAGTTTGTTGGGTTGGGTTGGGTTCAAATAATAGTAACTCAATATCAACTCAATCCCTACGGTTTGACAATTTTACAACTCCATTAGACATCAGGTTGGGTTATTTCCTGTTGGGTTGATCAGGTTGGTCGGGTTTTTGAGCACCCCTAGTTAACGCTTACGAAGAATCATTTTGATCCATGGCCGAGAATGTTACCCGACTAGGTAAAAGAGGATGGTGAGTCTTATCGATAAATACTGACTCAATAAACATTTGGTAAATAACCCCTAAATGTCTATGAAAAAAATAATATTTTAATTAGATAAGTGAAATATTTTAATAATATAATCAATGTGTAATCTCTAAAATGGAAAAACTGTTGAAGTTATAAGTAATTTTAAGATATTTTGAATTTTGATTATCCAATTTAAAGAAATTTCATAGAACTATACTCTAATAATGAATATAATTTTTAAAAATTCGGAATGGAACTGCATTTTCTTAT